CGCAAAAAAAAAAAAACGTGGCTCACCTAGGATTTGAGGAGCACTCCTCATGAATACATGATGCGGATGCCCAGGTATGTTCGTAACTCCAACCATTCGTCCCAGGACACTCCACACTGGATAGAATTTACTCAGTGTATTCAAAAACAATGCTGGTTTGAAGGGCAACCTTGTTGCAATTTCACAGATATAGTACCTCACGCCCTAAATTCTTCAGCAGCTTCCATTTTCTCTTCTATTATCCCTATACAACGTGTTGCATGTGCCTGTGGCACAAAACCCAGAGTCCTCACACTGCACTCGCGCACTCTCAATCACTACTCTGCACACAACTGCTTGCACTGTTTGTCACGCGGGGTTCAACTTACTTAGCACAAGCGATATCCTTATATAACCCCAATATATACACTATAATCCCTATATAACCCATTATAGTAGTTTCCATTTTATTTTCCATTATCCTTATATAACCTCAATATAAACAAGCATCTTGTGATAAGCCCAAGTCCTAGGAACCTCTTCCAACCATCTCCCCGACCCGACCCTGGCACTTAGGATATATGTATCCCCGTCAATAATGGAGAATCAAATGGAAAAGAAAATAGAAAATGACATGGAAACTGGGATTATGTAGGGGATTCTAGGTATTATAGTCTAAACTCCTACTATCCCCCTTAATAAGCTCTATAGTAGTCCCCTATATAATCCCTAAGGAGTTTAGAACATGGCTCATACCGATTCGGGAAAACAAGACCTGCTTGCACCCCTCACGGAGCCTCCTCCATGTCGTCATCGTACTCTTTGGCCTCATCAGCTTCCATGTCCTCCTCGTCTTCAAATTTCTCCTGTATGCGTCATGTCTCGGACTCAGGAATCGTATAGGACTTTACATGAAGCTTCTGAATAAAAACTTGCAGCCGTTTGGATGTTCCTATCCATTACCTACTAGCCACCTTGAAGCCCAAACCCTTCATAATGAGGTAGTCCCCATTCTATGAGCCATATACTAAACTCCTTAGAGGGGATTATATAGGGTACTATAGGGGTTACTAGGCGGGATACTAGGAGTTTAGACAATCCCTATAATCCCCTACATAATCCCAGTTTCCATGTCATTTTCCATTATTCCCTACCAACCATCTCAAAGCCTACATGATATGATTAGTAGTTTGGATTTGTTTTCCATTCCCTACGAACCACTACAAGAGTAAGTCAGCTCTAACCCCTATATGACCGTATACAACTCCTTTTGCAAATTCAGTTTCCATTTGTTTCTCCGCTAATATATCCCTAAACCCTGCCCATATTCCAATGTAAACCCCAATGTCCGTACATGCTGTGGATGGAGGGAATCTTGCACCACAACATATACCTGCGACCCGTAGGAATTACAATATTGTGGCACTGTTTAACTAATGTGTCTTAGGGTCTAGGGTCTTGGACACCAAACATGTACCCTCACCAAGATTCGCCGGGAAGCCCATTCACACTCACCCAAAAATCATGATGATGTCCTGACTTGTATCATATGATTTGCATTCTATCCAAAACCTAAAACCCAGAACCAACCCTAAACCCAGATTTGAAGCCCTAAACCCTAAACCCTAAGCCCTAAACCCTCATTCGAGTCCCTAAACCCTAAACACTAATTTGAGTCCCTAAACCCTAAACCCTAATTCGAGTCCCTCAACCCTAAACCCTCAACCCTAAACCCTACACCCTCAACCCTAATTTGAGTCCCTAACCTAACCCTCCCGCCCCGGCGCGACCTCAAGGAGGCCTCGAAGACCTTGCCGCTGGAAGTGCTCGGTGAGGCTCTGGGCCAGGCTAGCAGGATGCGCCTGGTTAAGGATTTAGGCTTAGGGTTTGGGGTTCA